TTATTCAGAATATGTATAATTCACAGGCTGGTAATGGGTATATTGACTATAGCTGAAGTTTTGTGTTTTAAGTATTTAACTCTAGTAGACCTCTGTGTAATAAGCTTTCTAGGCCAAGTATAAGTAGAATTGATGATTATATATAATATTTGATTTTAAGAATAAGCAAGAATATTGTATGTTAAGTATCTGTTCTTCTAATACCATTGCTTTCTCATTCATGACTGATTTCCCCTGGTTAAAAATTGATCCCATTTTGTTATTTATACAGTAAGTGAAAATCTTCTCCTGTAAGTTAGCCTATTTTAATCAGCTTTTCAGATCATGATCTTCTAGACAGGAAAGAACAAAGCCTTTTGATTGAATAGATGCTCAATAGGAATGAGGATGATCCTGAAAAAAATAAATTCTACTATAAGCCAGTCGTCGTGATAGGCCCTAATGTATGAGAAATTGTCCCTTGTCTCAACAAGGGGGACAGTTCCCAAAGAGCAGGGAAGATAGGCACAAATACATGTATGGTGGAGCAATGTTAAAGCAGAGGTCAGTACACTGGGAGAATAGTTAAGGCAATATGAATGGTACCAAGAGCACTTTTCCCAAGAAAAAAAAAATTGACGTTAAAACATGTTTTAATACCCAGCCAATATGAATAAGGTAAGGACCATGTTTTATTTATCCCGGCTTCATCTCCAGAAATGTAGTGGCTTTGACATAGTAGACACTGTTGATTATGAGATAATCTGAAGTGGTGTCATAGTTTTCCCCAAAGCCAGCCCTGAATACAGCTACTTGCCCCTGAAAATTTGGTGGGTTTAAGTGCATGTATTATTTTAATGGAGCCACAAATCACTCACCCAAGGATCACCAGGCACATTCTTCCAGATGTCCTGGAAAGCTATTAGTAGGAACTCGGGGGCTGGACTCAGTCATTCTTCTGACTCTGCTTCCATCATTACGAGAAATGAGAAACACTGAACCCCTCTTTCATCCAAGAAACACTTCAGCCATTCCCAATGTTCTTCACACATTCCTTATGTTTTCTACTTCTCGGTTCCTTTGCTTATGCCTTTATCTACACCTTAAATATTCTTGCATATCCTCTCAGCTTAAATGGATCCTCACCACCTTTGAAGGCATATTTTACAATCTACCTTTCCATGAAGATTGTGCTTATTGCTGTAGATAGTAGTGATTTGTTCCATCTCTGACCTCATAGTCTACCTACTGCTTATTATACCAAGCACTGTCTATGATGCCTCATTTGTTCAACGTTTTAAAATGCAAGCCATGTGTTAGACCATGTATCTTCCCCAACTGAATGGCAAGAGGTATTAGTGTGACTAATCCATGTTAGATTCCCAAAATGATAGGCCAGCTCAGGGATAGTTCTTACAAATACATAGGCTGCTGTACCTCAGGAGACAAGAAACCCTTGGGACAACTGGTCTTTATATTTCTTGACACACAATACTGGAACTGAGAATAAAAGTCATAGCTTCTTGTTAGCTGCTGTTGTTCAGACACTTAAAGAAGAGGGTATAATCAATCCATCGTTTCTCCTGAAGTGAGGAGGTTTGGAGAAAGAAGAGCTACTTACCTATAGTCTTCAGGGGGGAAAAAGGTGAGCTTCAGAATTTCGATGTTCACAATATAAGGATATTAAAATGTGTTCTAAAATCAATTCCTGGTTGTCTCCATGGGTTCTAGAGCTTCTGCATGTTTGAGGCCACGGAATCACAGAAGTATAGGGAAGAGGCCACGAGCATCTATCTCAGACTCATTTATGTATTGCTTACTCACCTTATCTAAGTATCTTAGGTCTAATAAATCACCTGCTTAAAAATATATTTATATAGACCTTATAATATATAAAGTATATTCACAGTTATTGTTTCATTTAATTTGTATAACCTTTGAAGTATTTATTATTTTTTACAGATTAAAATATGAAGTTCAGAGAGACTTCATGATGTGTCAAAGGTTGCATTGTAAGTCTTAGAAATGGAAATGACACTACATCTTGTAACTCATGGCTCAGTGTTTTTTCTGTTACCTCTGTACTAATGGTTTCCTTCTTTAAAAGGGGGCAATTAAGATTTGAAAGATTTAGAAAAAAATCACATTCTAGACTTTCATTGTCCATTAATACAGCCACTAGCCATGGGTGGCTACTGAGCATTTAAAATCTAGCCAGGTGATTTGAGATGTGCTGTAAGTATAAAATATGCTATTGATTTCACAGATTTGTATAATAAAAGAAAATAAATATCACATTCATTTTAAAAATATAAATCATATGTTGAAATGATAACATTTTGGATGTACAGTTGGCCTGTGTGTCTGTGGGTTCCACATGTATGTATTCAACCAACTGTAGATGGAAGATTTTTTTTTGTTTGAATGGATGTTTATATCTGCATTGAATATTTACAAACATTTTTCTTGTAGCTATTGCCTGAACAGTATACTAAAAGAGATATTTACATGGCATTTACATTGTATTAGGTGTTACAAGTAATCTAGAGATGATTTAAGGTCTACTAAAGGATGTGCTTAGGTTATATAAAAATACTACATCATTTTAAAACAGGTACTTGAGCATCCAGGGATTTTGGTTTCTGAGGGGGTCCTGGAATGAATCTCCCATGGATATCAAGGTATAATTGAAATGAGTTAAATGAAACATCCTACTAAAATATGTTTTTTCATTTTTTTAATTGTTACAAAGTAAATTTCTAGAATATTTTAAATTGCCATTTGTCTGCATTATATTTCTATTGGGCAATGCTGATCTTTACCTTTGCAAAATACTTTCACTAGCCATAGTTTTAATAATATTCTGAGATGCATTGAAATGTTTAAACACACTTTTTCTGCCTTTAAATTGTTAAAAACTACCTGAGTTCTGAATTAGAATCTACTACATTGATGTGAATCAATGTAGCAGATTATTTCGGTCGGACATACAACCTCATAAAATTTTATCCCTAGGCTAGTTGAGTTTACTGTTTATCAGTTGGTTAAAGTAGATATTGGTTATCATTGCTTACTTTTGTGTGGACTAAGATGGAATTTGTGTAACATTTCTTCCTACAACACAAAAACAGAGTACAATTTGTTGCAATAAGCTATTTGACATGCATATTACACTGCCATGGAATCTCTGACTTTTCCTATAAGTGGCAAAATACTGCAATGTAAAATTGGGCAGTTTCTGTTCTTCATCTGAGAAGACTTTTCCCTGAGAAGATGTCTTCAAAGATGGTCTTTACATAATGAGGTAATGCTGTCTGGCACAAAATGAATCATAGAGAAAAGTTCAGAGAAGGAAAGAAGAAAGAAGAAAGATGGCTTCAGCTCTAGGAGAAAATAACCAAGAAGTACCTTTCAAACGCTAAGGTGCACAAGAATCATGTGAGAATCTCACTAAAATGTAGGTCTTTACTCAGCAGGTGTGAGTTAGGGCCTGAGACTGTGCATTTCTAAAAAAATCTCTGAGTGATGCTGATACTACTGGTTCATGGACCATACTGTTTAGAGTGAGAATACAGGAAAACGAAACCTAATAGGCTTGAATAGAGGGAAGAAAGTTCAGGACACTAGAATAAAACAAGGAACATGAGCAGAATAAGTTTTACTTGGAGAGGGAGCCCAGTAGGAATTAGCGGGCAAGCAGGAGAATTACATATGAGTTGGGAGTGGTCAGTGTGTTTGTAATATTCAAGACAGATTTAAAAACATGCTTTAAATTCCCCACCATATTAAAGACAAACAACTGAGCATGTAGGTTTTTTGAACATTACTTTGATAAGCCTCTGTGACTAGACTACACACATGCATGCTAATTGGTAAGGAGTAATGGGAAAGGAAGACTCCAGAGTATTTCTGTATCAGGCAAAGGGCAATTGGTCACTCACTTTTGCACATGATCCTTCATCTCCATCATTTACGATGAGAGAAGAGCAGATACAAAAGACACAGATTCTGTAGAATTTGGATGCTCAGAGAATAGCTGTTCAGTGCCCATGCAGATTATTTGTTTTAAACTGTGAGAAGGATTTGAGAAATAAGGAGTCACCTACCTCCTGGGAACTCAAGCTGCCACAGGAAGTGTGGCTTGTCCTATTATAGCAGTAATATACTGGAAACAAGAAGACATGAATAGTTTCTTGAATAGACAGATAGCTAGACAGAATGAGAAAATGCAACCCTAGACATTTGAACCAGATTCTATGTCATTTTGGGGCAAATATGAATGTCTGGAGAGGGCTCTGTGAGTAGCCCAAAACTAAATAAAGGGTCAGCTTTTTCAGAGATAAGGCCATGATTGACCCCAGAATAGATGATTCCAAGATGTGTGCTATGTGGGAGCTTCCAAGTGGCAACACAAACATTTGGGTTGTTTGCATTGCAAATAGTGGCAGCACTAGTGTGCCTATATTAGACTCCATGGCCTTGGCAAGAGACATAGGCTGAGCCCAAAGGATGGCCAGAGATCCAGAAGGTAGAAACAGTTTTGGGAAGTCTGCCATTCTACCATCATCCAGCTTTTTACTGAAGTGTAAGAATAAACTTCCCACCTGGGAATCAATTCATGATTAGATTAAAAATAGAACAAACACTGGGGTCTATTGGGGAGAATAGGGGAGGGACAGCGGGGTGGCAGGGGGAGCTGGGGAGGGATAGCCTGGGGAGAAATGCCACATGTGGGTGAAGGGGAGGAAGGCAGAAAAACACACTGCCATGTGTGTACCTATGCTACTGTCTTGCATGTTCTGCACATGTACCCCAAAACCTAAAATGCAATTAAAAAAATAGAACAAACACAAAAATATAGTTTTAGAAAACTATATTTAGAAAAACTATATTTTGGAAAATACATTCTGAGCTATGCTTATGCTATAAAATGTTTTAAAAAGAAGTGTGCAGCTGGCCTATCATCAAGTAAGTTTGAGAAATGTATTTATATAGCCCTCCTGGAGGACTGAGACATGTCTGAAATCATATTGTCCTCGGATACTTATTTACTGTAACACCTTTTAACATCTCCCTACAATTATTATTTTGCTGAACACCCTTGGAAACTTTGATGTAGAAATTATAATTTACCTTCACAGTAGATATCTTCTCTATAGGAAATCCTGGAGGGAGACTCAGCCCTTGGCAAATGTGTCACTAGCAGAGGTATTCTCATAGTCCCCAGCCTCTTGTTTATGAACGTACTTAACTAATTTGCCTTAAGATACTGTGGAGTTCTTATTAGGGGAAAGGGAATCAGGCTGGTGTGAGCAAGGAAAAGCAAAAAGAGAAAGCAGATGAGCTACAAGTCTGCCTTTCTTCACAGTCCAGGACACACAGCCCTCCTATACAAATAACTCACAGTCTTCCTGTACCCACCTATCACCAGACACCAGCAAGTTAGCTCCCTGCAACCTTGGCGTTTTCAACACTGCACAAAGCCCTCTTCAACAAACGGCATAATCACCATCCTATAAAATCTTCAGCAAGCCTTTGTTTCTCTACAGTCCGCTTCTGCTGACTAGCCTGTTGTCTCCCTGGCAACGTGTTTTCCTACTTTCTCTAATAAGTCTGCCTTCCTTTACCTACAACTGTCTTGGTAAATTCCTTTACCCTTGTGCCAGCAGTTGGCATTTCCCCACAACAGAAATCCCCTGGTTTTAATCATTAGTCTTGTCTCTAACTCTGGAGAAAAAGGTTCTGTCCTTTGTTAAGAGAATTTGTTCCACTGGAGGGTTTGGAAAAGAGTGTATATGGTTCCTAACATCTATGAGTAGGTAGATGCTTACTGACCCCATTTTATCTTAATGTTCACTTTTGGGTTTTCATAACACAAAGTCAGTGTTTTCATAGATAGAAATACCTGGGCTATAAGGAATTAGAGGCAAGGTGGGATTCTATCTATCTAATTTGATTTTTTCTCTCTCATCTCCATAGATTTCTCAGAGAATGGGTATAAGAAACCATTCCACAGAGACTGAGTTTCTTCTTTCAGGATTAACTGAACAACCAGAGCTTCAGCTGCCCCTTTTCTGCCTCTTCTTAGGAATTTATACAGTTACTGTGGTGGGAAACCTTGGCATGATCTCAGTAATTAGGCTGAATCCTCAACTTCATACCCCCATGTACTACTTTCTGAGTAGTTTGTCTTTTTTAGATTTCTGCTATTCTTCTGTCATTATCCCTAAAATGCTATCAGGGTTTTTATGCAGAGATAGATCCATCTCCTATTCTGGATGCATGACTCAGCTGTTTTTTTTCTGTGTCTGTGTTATTTCTGAATGCTACATGCTGGCAGCCATGGCCTATGATCGCTACGCGGCCATCTGCAGCCCACTGCTCTACAAGGTCATCATGTCCCCTAGGGTCTGTTCTCTGCTCGTGGCTGCTGTCTTCTCAGTAGGTTTCACTGATGCTATGATCCATGGAGGTTGTATACTAAGGTTGTCTTTCTGTGGATCAAACATCATTAAACATTATTTCTGTGACATCGTCCCTCTTATTAAACTCTCCTGTTCCAGCACTTATATTGATGAGCTTTTGATTTTTGTCATTGGTGGATTTAACATGGTGGCCACAAGCCTGACAATCATCATTTCATATGCTTTCATCCTCACCAGCATCCTGCACATCCACTCTAAAAAGGGCAGGTGCAAAGCCTTTAGCACCTGTAGCTCCCACCTGACAGCTGTTCTTATATTTTATGGGTCTCTGATGTCCATGTATCTCAAACCTGCTTCTAGCAGTTCACTTGTCCAGGAGAAAGTATCCTCAGTATTTTATACCACTGTGATTCCCATGTTGAATCCCCTGATATATAGTCTGAGGAACAAGGAAGTGAAAAATGCCCTGATGAAACTTGTAAGAAGAAAAACATCTTCATCTTTGTGACAAATATGTTCTTTATTAATATCTATTTATGTATTCATAATCATGATTATATGTATGTTTATACCTTGACTCTTTAAAAGTACTTTGAAATCAGATGAAATTACATATATTTAGGTTACTAAATATATGCACAGATAATTACATTGAAAATGTAAAACAACATATATGAAAGTGAAAAGTTAAAAATATTTTACATTTAAAGTTAATACCGTTTGAACAACAGTTTTTATAATTAGTTTCCTGAATCCAAGCCCAAAAGGAAATCACCATCATGGTGTACTACATGGTCATATCAGAAGAAAAACACACCTAATTTAAAAAAAAAATTGACCTGTGTGATGGAAATTATTACAACAATTTTATAATAAATGTGGGAGAATTTTTCTTGATTGTTTCTTGTAAAGGTCTTATTAAAAGTCAATATTATCTTACAGTATAATTCAATGAAGAAGATTCAACAAAGGACTAAACTAATATGGTCTCAGCATTTGACATCTGATGATTGAAGAATAAGACTTACAGTGTCTAGATGAACAGATGATGTTTATAATCTTATAAATATCGTGGTTTTTTTTCCATGACCAGTGTGTGTGCAGTGTTTTACAACTTTCTGTTTGTTTCTTTTGAGTTGGTATTTTCTTTGTAAGCTGTAACTAGTTGTCTTTAATTTCCTCCACATAGCATGTTTTGAGATAAACATAATGAAAAACTTAATGATTTTTAAGAATGAACTCTTATACAATCAACCAAGATTGTGCACTATATGGGGAATGTGATGTAATAGTTAATTCATTTGTTCAGCATATGCTTATCATGGATACCATGTGCCAGGCACTGTTCTGAGTGCTGGAATATTATGGGGAATATAATAGACAAGGTATCTCTTTGCCTTTCACCTTGGGGGTGAAAAAGATGGTAGATAATACAGAAGTAATTCAATGAACAAACATGATAATTATACACATAGATAGATCCTTTGGAAAAAATGAGTTACATAATTTTCAGTGGGTCAAAGTCTACTCTCAATAAAGTTCCTTGAATAAAGGACATTTGAGAATAAACCTAAATGAAGAAAAGGGTACAGTTGTGCAAAAACCAGAAAGGTGGCAGCAAGTACAAAGTCCAAGGCTGGAAGAAACTTGGCCATATTCAAGAAATGGAGAAGGCAGTATAGCAGAAGGTCAGCAAGAGAGGGAAAAAAGCCACCAAAGGAGGTCAGGTAAGTAGGCAAATTCTAGATCACTTAAGGAGTTTCAGTTCTATCCTAAGTACCATGAGAAGCAACTGGAATGTTTCAAAAGCAGAGTGAGGTAATCTGTTTTAAATTTGAAAAATATCTTCTGGTTATTGATTAGAAAATAGATAGATGGATATGTGTGTATATGTTTGTGGGGACGGTTGGATAGGGAAAGATAGTGCTATTGACCAGAGTGGAAGCAGGGAGGACACTTTTGAGGCTGTTAAACTTATTTTGACAAGAAACAATGTAATTTTAGTTCTAGAAATAGCAGTAGAAAAAAATAATAGATTCAAGACATTTATGACTGTGAATAAATAAGATTTGCTGTTGAAGTGAAAGTGTGGTGCTTGAGGATGATGCATTTTGATAAAGTTAAAAATTTAGAAATAAGGAAAATATAAACAATAAAAGAGACTCAAGACCAGTCAAAAACACAGATAGACCATAAAAGCCAAAATAGTTGCAATGTTTGATCTTCATATCTGTCTGAGGTTTCAAGTAGCTAAAATTAACATGCATATAATAGTAGAGTTAGTTATACAATTATCAATGTATGTTAAACAATGCTTATTATAAAGCGGCAAGCATTCAATTATTCATAGTAAGAAAAGTTTTCTTATAAAGTAAAAAGCACTTCTAACTCGTGTTCTCTTCCTCAAAGAAACAGAAACAATTTACATGGAGATTTACATAGGAGTTACTGAAAGATGCTACTAGATAGAGCTTTTGAAAGAAGGAGAAAAGCTGTGTTTTTACATAAAGCGTTTAGTTTTTTTGTGTTATATCTCCATTGCAGGATGTCTCTCATGTTACTGATTAGTAGTTAGCATGGACCTGAGATCTTTTCCTACTTAGAAGATTTTCCTCACTCCTCTTTAGAAGATTAGTCAAGAAAATGAGGAGAGAGTGGGTAAGAAATAGATTGATTGAGGGATGATGCATAGATGGGATTCCTGCATTTGCTCTTTTATCCATATCCATCCATATCCATGGCAGACATAACTTCTGCATTATGGTACTCCAAAAAATTCAGATGTGGCCTCCTTTTTTTTTTTTTTTAAATTCAGTGCTCAAGACTACCACTGTCATTTCACTAGTAATGATAGATATAAAGAAATCTAATTTCCTTGGGGCTTTTACTAATTTTATATGCAGCGAATTCATATTTTAGTACATTTGGGAGACTACATAATGATTTAGGAACATCATCCTAGCTAGGGCTAAAGAGTATTTGCTTTTTGTATGTTCTCTTTGCATATCTTCCATTTTAAATTTTGGTGGTGGAAGGTGAAACAAGAGGGTGGAATAGAAGCCTATACTCTTTGTCCCCCTCTGCTGTAACATCAAATTTTTAACAACTATCTGCACACAGAAAAGCACTGTCACAGGAACCAAAAAAGCAGGTGAGTAATCACAGTACCTGGTTTTAACTTAATATCCTGGAAAGAGGCATTGAGGAAGCCAGGAGAGACAGTCTTGAATCACCATTGCCATCTTTTCTCCATTCCCTCACAGTAGCTGTGAAGCACGTAGAATCTGTACACTTTGGTGAGGGAGAGTACAGCCACTGGGGGGACTTGGCATTGAACTCAGTGCCGCCCTGTCAAGGCAGAGAATAAAGCCATGCTAGGCTCAGTCGGTGCCTGCACACAAAAGGAGAATTTGGCCCAGCCCTAGCCAGAGAAGAATCACCCATCCCAGCAGCTGAACATGAGTTTCTTGGCAAGCCTTACCACTGCAGGCTGAAGTGCTCTGTGGTCTTAGGTAAACTTGAAAGGCAGCCTAGGACACAAGGACTGTAATTCCTAAGCAACTCCTAGCTAGCATGGGCTTAGAGTCAGTGAACTAGGAAGATACCAGCTGGCTGGCATGGCTAAGGGAGGACTTGCATTATCCCTTCTCCAACCCCAGGTGGTACAGCTTGTAGCAGTGAAAGTGACTCCTTCCTTCTGCTCAAGAAGTGGAGAGTGAAGAGTGAAGCAGATTTTGGATATCAGATCAGCCACAGTAGGATAGGGTAGCAGGCAGAGTTGTGAGACCTCCATTCCTGGCCCTAGTTCCTGGATGACATTTCCATACTCACCCTGGGCCAAAAGGGAGCCACTGCCTTGAAGGAGAAGACCCAGTCCTGGAAGGATTATCACATGCTAACTAAAGAGCCCTTGGTCTTTGAATAACCAGCAGTGATATTCATGATGTATGCCATGGGCCTTGGGCTTTGAGACATGCTAGCTTTAGGAGCGACTCAGCACATTCCCAGCTGTGGTGGCTACAATGAAAGTCTCCTATTTGAGATAAACACAGGGAAGAGTAAAGAGACTTTTTATTGAACCCTAGCTACCAGCTTGGCTACAGTGAGATACAGCAACAAGCAGGCCCAATTCCAGGCCTAGGCTCTTGGACAGCATTTCTGGATCTGCCCTGGGATACAGGGGAGGCAACTGCCTATATTTGACTTACCTGAATTTATTTGAGTTACCTCAAAACAGCTATTTTGAATTCTCTGTCTGAAAGGTCATATATTGGTTTCTCTAGGATAGGTCCCTGGTGCCTCATTTAGTTCATTTTGGTGAGGTCATGTTTTTGCAGATGGTGTTGGTGCTTATAGATGTTCTTCAGTATCTGGGCATTGAAGAGTTGGGCTCTTATAATCTTCACAGTCTGGGCTTGTTTGTGCCTGTCCTTCTTGGGAAGGCTTTCCAGATATTCAAAGGGACATGTGCCCCATGCCCAATAATGCTGTGCTTTTTGCAGACTTGCAGATGTACTTCCTTAGTCTTGACTAGGGTCCAAAAGAATTCTCTGGATTACACAGCAAAGACTCTTATTCTTTTCCCTTACTTTCTCCCAAATACACAGGGTCTCACTCTCTCTATGCTAATCCACCTGCAACTCGGGTGGGCATTACTGCAGCCACCCATCCCAGTTCCAGGTGGATCAGCACAGAGAGATAATAGCAGAATTGATTAAGCAGAAGAAAGAATTGTTGAGCTTGAAGACATTTGAAAATACACAGAGGAGACAGAAGGAAAGAAAATACAAAACAGTGAAGCATGCCTATAAGATATAGAAAATAGCTTCAAAAGTGGAAATCTAAGTTTTTGGCATTAAAGAGAAGATAGAGAAAGAGATAAAGGTAGAAAGTTTATTCAAAGGGACAATAACAGAGAACTTCCCAAACCTAGAGAAAGATATTAATATTTAAGTACAAGAAGGTTATAGAACACCAAGCAGATCAAACCCAAAGAAGACTACCTCATGGCACTTAATAGTTAAACTCCCAAAGGTCAATGATAAAGAAAGGATCCTACAAGCAAGAAAAATAAAGAAATACCAAATAATAGAGCTCCAATATGTCTAGCAGCTGACTTTTCAGTGGAAACCTTATGGGCTAGGAAAGTGTACCATGACATTTCAATTGCCAACAGAAAAATACTTGTACCCTAGAACAGTATATCCCTGAAAATGTCCTTTATACACAAAGGAGAAATAAAGAACTTCCCAGACAAACAGAAGCTGAGGATTTCATCAACACCAGACCTGTCCTATGAGAAATGCTAAAGGGAGTTCTTCAATCTGAAAGAAAAATAAGTGAATGAGTAGAAGAAATCATGTGGAGGTATAAAATTCACTGGTAATATTATATAGTAAGCACACAGAAAAGAACAGATTAATATAATGCTGTAATTGTAGTGCATAAACTTCTCTTGACTTAAGTAGAAAGACTAAATGATGAATTAATCAAAAATAATAACGTTTGAAGACATAGTACAATAAAACATAAAGAGAAACAATAAAATGTTAAAAAGCAGAGAGAAAGTTATAGTGTAGTGTTTTTATTAGTTTTCTTTTTGCATGTTTGTTTGTTTATGCAATCAGTGTTAAGTTGTCACCAGTTTAAAAAAATGGGTTATAAGATAGCACTTGCAAGCCTCATAGTAATCTCAAAGAACATAACAACAGATACACAAAAAAATAAGAAGCAAGAGATTAAAGCATATCACTGGAGAAAAATCACCTTCACTAAAAGGAAGACAGGAAGGCAGTTTAAAAGAAGAGAATACTACAAAGCAACCAGAAAACAAATGCCAAAATGGCGGGAGTATGTCCCCATTTATCAGTAATAACGTTGAATGTAAATAGTCCAAACTCTCCAATTAAAAGACTTAGAGTGGCTGAGTGGATGAATAAACACTAAAAGAAACATGCTTCATCTATAAAGATACACATGGGTTGAAAGTAAAGGGATGTTGCCTAAAAGAAACATGCTTAATCTATAAAGATACACATAGATTGAAAATATTGAAATATTGAATATTTCATGCTAATGGAAACAGAAAA